TATATATATATATATATATGTGTATATATATATATATACAAGTCATAAAATATTAATCACCAGTACCCTCTACTGGTAGAAATATCTATCTGCTCATACGAATGGTCTTATTGCCCCCTAGTGACCACAACCTATAAAGACAGAAAATCCAACAGCAGATGGGAGAATCGCCTTGGCTACAATGATAGGGTTTTATGTTCTTTTAGCATCTAATTTTCTCAGATTCTGGTTTATATTACAGGGGTACAATTCTAAGACTCTTGGGGGGCCCCCCGGGGATTCACACAGCTCTTCCCAGCTGTTAGTGCTGGTGTGAAGCTGCTCTCTCTCCTGCTTCTCATGAACAAGAGGTCAAGGGGAGGCAGACGAGGCAATGGCTGCATGAGGGAGGGCAAGAACAGCAGCTGTGAGTGACTGCCCTGGACTCCCTGAGGAATTGGGAGCAGCTTGAGGAACACATGTTGGCCCTCCCTCTCATATTATCCACAGTTGTGTGCTGTACTGAAATAGCAATTCAACACAGTCCCTAACTTACCTTTTAAATATCTGTGATGCTATAATAAAATGGTGCAGCAGCAAATGCTGCTATCGTTTTGTTTTATAAACCAGATCTTGCAAGCCATTTCTACTTAAGACAGAAAAGCCAATTCTCTTTCACCTGAAATGTCACCTCCTCTATGAAGCCTTTTTTGAATTCCCTAAATGTAAGCAACTGCTTTATCCTTTGAGCCGGTATATACCCCATAATGGGTCAGAGTGGTACCCAGAATATTATGTAGACATATTTTCATTTATAACCTATAGTCACTGCTCCCATTTGTCTACACATTTGTCTTTCCTACCAAACCCTAAGTCCCTTAAGGTTACAAACTATGTCTTATTCATTCGGCACACTTAACATCAAATACACTCAAAACGTTATCCCACAGACATTGCCAATAACCCGTTCGTGAGGTAAGTATGGAAACGGAACATAAACATTTGGAAACTTGTAGTGCAATCTGACAGAGTAATTACTTATCTGTTGAACAGAATTTTTGAAAAATGGGTACTTACATTTCATATACTTTAATTTCATTTGCTTGATAATTTTTAGTATATATTACCAAATACTGGCCTGCAAACCAATGGAGAATGTTTTAAATAACAGTCCTTTACGAGAGATCGTTTGAGAAGCACTGACATGACAGATGTCTTAATGTTCAGCGGAGGGTGAAAAGGAATAAGGAGACAAATGTTATAAACTTTTCATACGATTTAGAAGGAACATACCTATCTTTGTGGATTTTAACACTTCCCTGGAGGGTATTTTCTTCTTTAATTCTTGTAAGGTTTCAATCAGATTCTCTTTGCTTTGATCTGGAAGCTCCAACATAGTTTTCCACCTTTTTATGTCTTCTACAACCACAACTCTCTGGGAAAAAGAAAAGTCATTTGGAAAATGGAACATTTTCATTAGACAGACATCTGCCTTCACCTGAGCTAATGGGGCTCCTATCGACATATGAATTATTGATTATGACCTGAATCACGGCAGTGTGTCTGATAGTCCCAAATGATGGGTAATTGCTTAAAAGCGGGTCCTGCTTACTGCAAATCAGGAAGAGAGTTGCATCTATTAGGAAAAGTGCAAGTTTTAATCTTCCTATGTCAGATACCATTGGGCACTTAGCAGTGAGAGGCAATAAGGATGAGAAGAAAAGAAAAATAATGCTGAGGTGAATCAACCCTATATTTCACTTGAGAGGGTCTTCATTCATAGGAAAGGACAGAGAGCAGAGAAGTATAAGACATATTTATTTTAGCAATAAAAAGCACACAGGACTGGCAAGTGGCATGATGGTTGGGGCACTTGATTCCCACATGGCCAATCACAGTTTGAGTCCCTGATCCCGTGGCTAGTCAAGATGGGCATGTGTGCATGCATGCCCAGGGTCCCAAGAAGAGAGTGGAGTAGGGATTGCAGTGTGGCCATCTCCCACTCCCGAGGGGGTGATTTCTCACATTCCCTCTCTCTGTCTCTTTCCAGTGAGCACATGTGCCCTATGGCAAAAACCTGAACAACAACAACAAAAAAATGCATACTTCAATAGCTCCCTCACTTCCTAGAGGGTAAAACTCAAACTCTCTCTTGTTCAAAGAATTTTTAAAACCTTAAACATTTAGAAAGGTACCGAGAGTAACTCACTATTTATAATTTTAAAAAAGTTAACATTATGCCATTTCACATAAAGTAAGAAAACAATATAAAGTTTAAGTCCCTTTATAACCTCCACTAAATTAGTTTTCTCTTTCCCTTTCTAAAAGAAACTACCATCTTTATGTTGCTATACATATTTCCATTAAGTGCAAAATATTAACAATTAAAGAATCTGGGTGAACAGGACAGGAACTTTGTTTGTATTTGTTGCAACTTTTTTATAGTTTTGAAGGGATTTCAACTAAGATTTTTTTTTTTTTTTTTGCTATAGTGTGCATGTGCTTGTGGTGGTGGTGGGGAGAAGTAGTGAGAAATCATCTCCCGGGGGAATGGTCACACCACAATCCCTTCTCCTCCATTCTCTCAGAATTTTGAATATGCACGCACACCGCCTGGTGTGTTTTTCAAGCCACTAGGTCTAGGACTCAAACCATGCAGTCAGCTGTGTGGGATCCAGTGGCCTTAACCACTATCCACTCAACTGAAAATTTTAAAAAGAGTACACTGGACACAAAAAGGTTTTATTATTATAAAAATATCTTTTCAAACATCTTTTCTTGGACTATTATTTCCCTGAGGATGTAGACACAGTTAGGGAACCAGAAGGGGGTATACTAGTCTTCTGGGATTCTAGCAAAGTTTCTTAAGCCATATGTTGGTATATTCACATTGTGAAAATCCCTCAAGATGTACACTTATGATTTGTGTACTTTTCTATATGATAGTTTGATTTTTCTTTTTCTTTTTCTTTTTTTTTTTTTTTTGAGAGGTTTTTGCTATAGGGCGTGTATGCTTGCCAGAAAGACAGAGGGAGACAGAGAGACAGAAAGTGAGTGAAAAATTGTCCCCCAGGAGGGATGACCACGCTGCAATCCCTTCTTGTCCATTTTCCTCTTGGGATCTTGGGCACGCACGCACACATGCCAGGCGTGAGTATAGGCCACTGGGTCTGGGACTCAAACCGCAGTCAACTACGTAAGAGTCCAGCAACAAAGCCATTACACCAGCTGCTGGTCCTGACCGTTTGATTTTTTTTAAAAAGTCTTTTCTGCCCATTGGCTGAGGTTTGCTTCCAGCCTAGAAGTTGGTGGGGGGAGGAGGGAAAGTTTGACTCTATTTCCCCATCTTTGTTTTTCCTCCCCAAGTTGCTTGTTGGCTTTGGTTTCTGACCCTTCCAGGTTCAAAGCTGAGAGGAGGAAAGGCAGAGAAAAGTATTTGTTGTGATACTATGCTAATCAGGTCTTATCACTCTCTGGACTTAGCAGATACTTAGAGCTGACACTTTTTCTCTTATAAAGTGTTTTTGTGGTTCTCTGGAGAGCTCCCATTATTGGGGTCTCACCTACAGTTCCCACAGTGTGGGCAATGCCTCTTCCAGGTGGCTCCTTACAGTCATGCCTTAAGTCCCCAGTTTTGGGCAACAATTTCACACTAACACTCTCTAGCAGTTCACTGCCCTTGTAAGAATCCTAGTGAACCCTGCCACTTCAATGCAAATCTAGACCAACAAGCATTTTCTCCAGCAACCGCTCACATTTTTGTCCTAAAAAATCCTGAGGGTAACTATCTTCCCAGTGACGCCACTTCTCCCTTTGGCATCAGCCAGCCACTCGATTGGTCTTTAGAGTTTCCCAGGCAGAGGTCCAATCTCTGCATCCACCAATTCTAGGGACTGAAGTCAAGTTCTCCGATGAAAATACAACCGCACTGTCACTTCATCCGAAGAAATTCTCTCTCCCTTCTTCCTTTAACTTCAACTTTTTTATTGCCTATGGCAGGTGATAGGTTCAGGATTCTAAAATTGGTCTACATGCACTGCCTTCACAAGACCTGTCTAGAATCCATGTGGGAACATCATTTGATATTTACTGCTTTGTCCTCAGCCTTTAGAGGCCTTAGCTAAAATTGAGGCAAAGTCCTTTTCTATGATGCTAACAATGTAAGATAGTACTATTAGTGTTACATGGTGTAAAAGTAATCAAATAAATAAAGCAAGCCAAATAAGAGGATATTTTCAATAGGAAGGGGGTATAAATACCATGTTTTTTTCATTCAATGTATTTTCTTCATTTACCCATACTGACACATGTAATCTCAGTTGATCTTTTAAGAGAGATTTTTGCTATAGGGCACATATACTTGCCAAAGAGACAGACAGCAGGAAATCACAACCCCTGCCACAATCTCTTCTCCATTCTCCTCTTGGGATTTTGGGCACACATGCACATGCACCTGGCTTGAGTTTTAAGCTGTCAGGCCTAGGACTCGAATCACAGTTGACGTGGCAGTCCAGTGATGTAACCATTACTCCATCTGCTGGTCTATTAAATACTGTTTTAAGAGTATTGAGTAGTACTCCATTATTTTTATGTATAAATGTCTGAATTTTGAAATCTGTTCCCCTAATGGATATTTAGGATTCCTTTCTCCCAGAATTTTCCTGTTATAAATATTGCTTCAGTGAACTTCTGCCTATGATAGTATTTTTGTATACTGTCTTCCATTTTTTTACTTTCAACTTTTCAGGGTCTTTATGTTTTAAATGGCTTATGACTACTTTGTTTTACCATCTTGCCCCAAATCCAATCTAAGAATCTCTTTTGATAGGCATGTTTAATCCGTTCCATTTGTATTTATGACGATTGCTGATGTAATCGGATCTGTTTCCTCTTTACTCTCCATCTTCCTGTATCTTCCATTCAACAGACTGAGTTTTCTTTACTCTTATTTTTTTCTTTAGTTGGGAAATTACACATTCTATTTCTAGCATCTTAGTTTTTACATCTCACAATTTTTAAGATGTGCACTCAATGAAATCTACATCACTATTCTCACAAGCCTCTACTTCAGAAATCCCTCTTACTTGGTTTTGTTGTCCTTTTTATCTTCTTTTTCTCATATTTCTGTCTCATTATTTCTCCGTGATACATTCTAAGTGATTTCCTCAGCTAGCTTTCAATCCACTATTTCTCTCTTTAGCCACGTTTATCCTGTTTGATGTGTTTCTACTTCAACAAGTACATTTTTTCATTGGGCGAGCTTTGTTTTCTTTTGCTTTTCCTCTCTGAATGAGCTTGTTCTCTTTTCATGTTCTTTTCTAGGGCTTCTAATCTTTAACTATAAGAACATTTTAAACATACTTAAGGTCTCTTTCAGTTTATTCTCTTATCTTAGCTTCTTGGGATAGAAATTTTATTATGTATACTTATCTGCTGATTTTCCCTCCCAGTAATTAATTTCTTTTTTTTTTTGAGAGAGAGATTTTTGCTATAGGGCACATGTGCTTGCCAGAGAGACATCCCAGACCCGATGGCTTGCTTTCTCGCTTTCCCTCTCTCCCTCTCTTTCTGTCTGGTCAAATTAAAAAATAATAATAACAAATGGAATTAAATAACTAATTCTTTTAAAAAATCTTAATTAATCTAAATACTTTCAATAGCAAGTGCAGCTGATATATACATATCAATGAACACATTTGACTTTAGACGTAAACCTTAGTGAGTAGAATGAACATACTGTGAAGTAGCACCTAGCTGGGGCTTACTGCAGTCATTAAATAGGTATTTTTTAAATGCATTTTTAATTTCAAGAAAAAGTTTTAGTTTTAATGGATCAAAATCAAAAAATGTTAAGAGAAATTTGCTTAGGACTTAAAGCCAGGAAAAAGGTTAGGATTCAGTTCAAACAGTAGGTAGATGAACCTATTAATAGTTCAGGAGAAGACAAAAATCCTTAAATGTGGAAAACAAACCACAGAAGAAAATCAGTAGAGTTTTAGTCAAAAGTCATAAAATTCTATTTCACCAGTTCAGTCTCATGTGATTAATCTCTCTTCTACTGAATTTGCAGTGTTACTGTGGTCTGATCTTTCCATTTAAATTCAGGAAGTTAACATTAAGCTCCGGACTTTTCCCTATTGTTAGGCTGGTCATACTCTTGGTTGTTTCTTGTACTTTCATTTCTGTGTGTCCAACTTTAGTTTTCCTGGCATAGCACTCCCTTCATAACTTCTCAGAGAGCTTGTCTGGTATTGGTAAATTCTTCCAGGTTTTTTTTATCTGAGAATGTTCTTGTCTTTTCTTTCTATATGAAGGATAATCTTGCCAGGCATAGTATTCTCAGTTGAAACTGTTTTTCACTTAACACTTTGAATATATTTTCTCATTCTTTCCTTGCTTGTATTGTTTCCGATGAGAGGTCCAATGTTAGCCTGA